GTATATTGTTTACACAAAATATCACACTAAAAGCAAAGTGGAAAAAGAAAGACTACTAAAAATGAGCTGGCAATAGATTTACTGACAGGCAATGAAACCCAAAGATTGTCTTTAAGGGGAATAAAAGTGTGACAAAGTATATACAGCATGTTCTTTTTAAAATTTACATTAAATATGGGGCAGGAGAGATGACTCAGTGGTTAAGAATGCTGAATGTTCTTGCCGAAGACCCAGGTTCAAATCCCAGCACCCACACAGCAACTAACAACTGTCTGTAACTCTCGTTCCAGGGAATCTGACACATTCTCTGGGCGTTGCAGGCCTGTGGTACACTTACACACATATAGATTAAACACTCATACACATAAAAATAAATTAAATTCTTTTTAAATATTTATTTTTATTCTATGTATATGAGTGTATTGCCTGCATGTATGTAAGTGCACCTGTGTCATGCAATGCCCACAGCAGTCAGAAGAGGCATTGGATCCCCTGGAACTGGAGTTACTGATAGTTGTTAGCTGCCATGTGGGTGCTGGGAGCTAAACTCGGGTCCTCTACAGAGTAGTTAGTGCTCTTAACTGCTAAGCCATCTCTCCAGCCCCTAAATTCTTACTTTTGCAGTTAAAACTATGGTATTTGAAAAGGCAGGAGAGATTCACACACTTACTGAAATGTGCCACTTCACCAGTCACAGCTGGCCTTGTTTACGGGGTGCCCTGCTGCCACTTTCCTGGAGGAGGCGGTGTGCAGGGCCCCACCTCCTCTCCTCTCCCCAGTGCAGATGGGGAGTTTGCAGTGACCCACATGACCAAGGCCCACCTCTTCTTCACGGGTACCGTGCACTGGGTGCCCCCGGCCATCTACAAAAGTTCCTGCAGCATCGACGTCACCTTCTTCCCCTTCGACCAGCAGAACTGTAAGATGAAGTTCGGCTCCTGGACTTACGACAAGGCCAAGATCGACCTGGAGCAGATGGAACAGATGGTAGACCTGAAGGACTACTGGGAGAGTGGAGAGTGGGCCATCGTCAACGCCACGGGCACCTACAACAGCAAGAAATACGACTGCTGTGCAGAGATCTACCCCGACGTCACCTACTACTTCGTCATCCGCCGGCTGCCTCTCTTCTACACCATCAACCTCATCATCCCGTGCGTGCTCATCTCCTGCCTCACCGTGCTGGTCTTCTACCTGCCCTCTGAGTGCGGTGAGAAGATCACGCTGTGCATCTCCGTGTTGCTGTCCCTCACCGTCTTCCTCCTGCTCATCACTGAGATCATCCCGTCCACCTCGCTGGTCATCCCACTCATCGGCGAGTACCTGCTCTTCACCATGATCTTCGTCACCCTGTCCATCGTCATCACGGTCTTTGTGCTCAATGTGCACCACCGCTCCCCCAGCACCCACAACATGCCCCACTGGGTACGGGTGGCCCTGCTAGGCCATGTGCCCCGGTGGCTGCTGATGAACAGGCCCCTGCCTCCCATGGAGATCCATGACCCCCAAGCTCCAAAGCTTAGTCCTACTTATCACTGGCTAGAGACCAATATGGATGCTGAAGAGAGGGATGAGGCAGAGGAGGCAGAAAAGAGATGTGTGTGCATAGGCCTCCCAGCCCCTTCCATGGGTGTCCTCCATGGCCATGACTGTCTGCACCTGGAAGCCTCAGGGCCCAAGATCATGGCACCATCGGGGGAGAATGAGATCTTGCTGTCACCTCAGATCCGGAAAGCACTGGAAGGTGTGCACTATATTGCAGACCACCTGAGGTCTGAGGATGCTGACTCTTCGGTGAGTTGGGCTGAGGGAGGGGACCTTTTCCTGGGTGACTCTGCTAGCTTAGCCCGGAACAGTCTCATCCCAGAGCATCACCTCAGGTAACCTCTTCCCTCAATCATCCCAAGGTTTCTGGACTCAACTATGAGAAAGGACATTTGGCTGACAGTTCTTTGAACACTTCCCAGCAGGTACCAGAATACCACAGGGCTCTCATACCACTCAGTCTGACTGGGAGACAACAAACTAAGAATGAGCCAAGAAGGAAAAGCTCAAATGCTGGTCTATCTCTATCTTGGCCTCCTCTGGCCAAACTTTCTCACAAGGAGAAAGACTGCTTCCTTAGATGCAGAGACCCGGTGCAAACACATCATCCCACCACTACAAACACACAAACACACACACACACACACGCACACACACACACACACACACACACACACGCACGCATGCACACACGCACGCACGCACACCCTGTGCTGGAGGGACTCCGCTCCTCCTTGCTGTGGACTGTGAGCATTTTATGGTCTTTCCTAGCCATGAACAAACCCTGTAGTTTCTCAGCTGTACCAGGGTGAGTCCCCTCTCCAGCCCTGAGGACAGTATTTAGTGTTCAGAACCTTCATATCCCCTTATCAGCCTAGGGAAGACTGATGTTATTACTGGGTAATCTTGTTCAACAGATCAGAACATTAATCATTACTTTAGGAACATCTTAGAATTTAGATCCCCTGGCCTGGGCTGTACGCTGAAGCACTATAAAGCCTTAGCCCCACCCACTTCACCTGGCCTGGACCACATCCGCCCTCACCAGCCTCTTTAACTGCTGAGTGTTGCATTTGAATCATCCTGACTGGAAAGGACCATGCCCCTGTGTGGTCCTAGCACTGTATCATGTCCCTCTGGCCTCCTGAGCCTGGGACCATACAGAAAGCTCTGAGTGATATGGAGGAAGGGACAGGATGGATCCCCCCAGGGAAGACGAGTCATTTTAGCTAACCCTGTGTCTCCTTCCATTCATCTCTGTGAGCCTGGGCTACCTTGGCTCTTAGTAGGCTGGTGACTGCTGTGCTTGGGGTCTTCCCTCAGAGGCTGGTGTGGGGGAGATACTATCTCTTCCTGAGGCCTGTCTCCTGTCACTGTGAACCTGCTTCTGCCCGCAGGTGAAAGAAGACTGGAAGTATGTGGCTATGGTTGTCGACCGGATATTCCTCTGGCTGTTCATCATTGTCTGCTTCCTGGGGACTGTTGGGCTCTTCCTTCCCCCATTCCTAGCTGGGACGATCTGACTCCAGTTCCTTGCATTGGCTCCAAGGTGCCCTTGACAACCATCTTCTGACCTTTTTTAATTGGGGCCACTGTCCAGAGTGTCTTTTGGGGTCAATACCGTCTGCTTCTGGTGGTTCTACGGAGTCCCCAAACTGGTCCAGTCATCGCATCTCTTTTGGAACAGTTCATTGTGATGATATTGTGCCACATGATGAGACTACTGAACATGACACCTGTTGTTTAAAGAGCTGGAGAAGTTGAAGGAATTAACTCTGCAGGTTTACGATGTGGTGTTGACATGAGACAAAGAAGACCCAGGAGCGCGCACCTGTAACCCCAGCACATGGAGGCTGAGGCAGGCAGGTCTCTGTGAGAACGAGGCCAGCCTGGACTACATAGCAAGTTCCAGGCTAGCTGGGATTTACATAGCAAGTTCCAGGCCAGCTGGGATTACAGGGAGACCCTGTCCCAGAAAAACAGAAAACAAACAAAAAAAGATCCTGAAGGAGCAACAGGAAGCTTAAGGGACAGAAGGGTCAACAAGGGACGGGGAGAAAGTCAGGACAGGGTGAAACAGAACTGCCCCAAAGATGGGCAGGACAACGGGAAGGTGCCTCATGTGGAAGAGCTCTGAACACCACTTTGGATTGAGAAATGAGCTCCAGAGCACAGCCCTGTGGTGGGAGGCTGCAAAGGCACGCTGGGGTATCTAAACCAGGCCAAGGAAGAAGTTCGGAGTCTCTCTGCACCCCTCTTTGAGCTGTGAGGGGAAATAGCAGAGTCAGATGAGGCCACTTCCAGAGCAGTGGGGCACACCGTGGGGTCCAGATTCATGGTGGATACGTGGGGCAGAGGAGTGATGCATAGCTGGGTACAGGTGCCTGGACTATTATCCTTCTAGAAACATCTTCAACCCTGAAGGAATCCCCTTAGCACCATACCTCCCTATTTCTTGCTGCAAAGTGGCCCAGCAATTGCTAGCAGAGATCAAGGCCACCCCCAAACCAGCAGTGGATAAAATAGGAAAGCAAAGCCCAATTAATGTTGCCCTAGCTGGTTGGGTACCACTCCCGTCTTTCACAGGTCCCTGATCCCCTGATTCCCTGCTCTGTCAGCATGCTTTACAAAGGAGGTAAGATCTTTGCTTCAAGTCTTTCTTTTTTGGTCTTTTTGAGACAGGGTCTCCCTATAGCCCCAAGCTGTCCTGGAACTCACTATATATAGACCAGGCTGGCCTCGAACTCACAAAGATCCACCTGCGTCTGCCTCCCAAGTGCTGGGATTAAAGGCGTGCGCCACCATGCCGGGCTGCTTCCAGTCTTTTTTTAAAAACTATTTTATTTATTATTTTTATTTTGTGTTATGCATGTAGAGCCTACGTGTAGGTTAAGTGCACCCGTGTCATGCAATGCTCACAGAGGACAGAAGACTGTCTGATCCCCTGAAACTGGAGTTGCCAACAGTTGTTAGCCGCCATGTGGGTGCTGGGGTTCGAACCCGGGTCTTCTGCAAAAACAACCAATGTTCTTAACTTCTGAGCCATCTCTCCAGGCCCTGGTTCAAGCTTTTATAATTGTGTACTTCTTTGTTTGTTGCTTGTTTGGCAGGGTCTCCCTAGTTCCATCCTGCCTGGAACTCACTATGTAGACCAAGCTGACCCCGATCTCACAGAGATCTGCTTGCCTCTACCTCCGGAGGCACACACCACCATGCCCAGTGTTCAGTTGTGTAGTTTTTTTTTTAAGGTTAATGATTAATTTTTACTTCCTTCAACATATATAGCACTTTCTAGCACCATGAAAACTAGTTAGTAGAGATGAAGCTTTGAAGTCACCAACTTGATTTTTTGCCTGGTCTTTTCCATGATGTATGTAGTGTCTTCAGCAACAGGGTCTGATCATAGAGTTTTGGTGAGTACTTCTTAAGGGCAGAGTCTGTGCTTTTATTTTTCTCTTGTGCCTATCACCTAGCACAGTGCTGGGCATTTGGGTTTGTTGGTTGTTTGGTTTTTTTTGTAGACCCAGCTGACCTGGAACTCTCTATGTAGACCAGGCTGGCTTAGATCTCACAGAGATTGGCCTGCCTCTGCCTCCTGAGTGCTGGGACCAAAGGTGTGTGCCACCATGCTGGGCTCCAGAGGTCAGCACTTGGAACATTAATTCTGAATGATAGAAGAGAACATTCTAGACTGCTTTGGGCCTCAAGACAGCTGCATAACATCAAGGTCTCAGGAAGGTTTCCTCCCAGCCCTGCCCTTCCCATCTTTCCCAGAGCCTCATTGTGCAACTGAACTGTTCTGTTCTAAGACCCTTCATTGCATGGGAGCCCAGAGGACTGGGCCTCTCAGAGTGCTGCCCAGACCCTGGGAGGCCAGACTTCAGCAGCTAACAGCAAAGGGCAACGGGATGGCTAGTCAATACACTGACCAAAGCAGGAGGCAGACCAGAGTAAGCATCGGGTGTCACTCTCATTTGGAACCCACCCATTGCTTCTTGACAGACCTAGGCGAAACCTGCTTACCAGGGATCCCACCCCAGGCCTTGCTCCCACTTCTCCTGAGACCCCACTCAGCAGCTACTTTGGATCTCAGCCCCTCCCTCCTGTGAATGCAGCCTGCAGCCTCTCCTCCCCTCACCTCCCTGCTGTGATTTCCTGATAGGGTGGGATGTTCAGCCTGTTGTCCACATCACCCATGCCCATCCACCTTGCATGTGAGAGAAATAATGAAGTAAAGCTAAGATTGCCATTCTCAACGGTGATGTCCCTCCAGGCTAGCCACCTCAGCGACTTCGGCATCCACCAGGCTCCTTCAAAGGCCAGGTGGTTTGGGGGACAGTCAGAAGAGGAGTGTCCCATGGAGGGGCACTACTCTGGTCCTTGTGGAAAGCTGCCCTTGGGTCAGGTGACTACCGCCCTCATGGGGAAAAGGGCATGAGCTCAGACCTGGCCCCACATAAATGTTACCACACATTCTTCATTCTCATCTGCCTCAGTCAGCCTTTGATCTGTTCCCACTGGGACACAATGGAGTCTTTCAGGGCCGTGTTTCCAAGTCAGCTTTCTCCCACAAAGGGCAGATCAAACAAAGAACGCAAACAAACCACAAAGCAAATGGTAATGATTTTAATTGAACCACAAGTCAGATAGAAAGAAGGTAAAAGAATGTTCTCCACAATCATGTGAGAAAGTAAAGGGTCAGAGGAGATGAGGGAGGAGAGAGCTTAAGAAAAGAGGGGAGAAGGGGAGAGGGAAAGGGTGAGGAGGAGTGCAGGAAGTCTCAGATGTGGCTCAACATCCGGTTCTGGCCTACGACTCTCTGCCTCTTCCCCATGACCCTCAGTTTGATAATAGCACAGAGCCCTGAGCCTGGATTCTCAATTAGCTTGTTCCTGGACTATGGCCCATGGCTGTCCAGACTCAACTCACATTAAATAAATTCCAATATACACTGTACAAGAGAGCCAGGTCCAGCCCTTCTGTCACCAGCCTCCCTCCAAACAAAGCCCCTCTCTGACCCCCCTGTACCAGGGGTCCTCCAAGGGCCGAAGAGGAAGGAGAAGGGGTAGGCTGGCTCTCCAACGTCCATGCAGAAAGCCACCTCAGCAGTTAGGAGTACTGCCACTGTGATCCCAATGAGGCCCCAGCACCCAGGCTGGGGTAAGGGGGAGTGGCTGGCAGCAAACACCCCCTTATGAACTATGTCACCCCACCCTGTGTCCATGCCCAGAATCCCCTCTGTCCAGGTGCAGCCTGAGCAGCACAGTCTGGGGTGGCGCGGGGAGGGGGGTCGTGCGAGTGGTGAAGGAAGGACTCCCCTCGGCCTTTCCCAGAAGACCACATGACCAAAGGCAAGGCAGGAAAGGTAGACCACGACAGGTGGGGGTGGAAGACGCAGGCAGGAGGCCCCACCCTAGGTCACTCAGCAGGTGGGTGGGCCAGATTGGCCAGAACCTTGGCCTGGTCCACAGCATCTAGCAGGTTCTTGGCGTCCACGGCCAGGGTGTGGGAGGCCGTGAGCATCTGCCGCTTGCACTCCTCACTCAGGGAGGTCACCGCGTTCTGCTGGGCCAGCCGCATCTTGTTGATGAGCTCTGCCAGGTCTTTGTTGAGCAGTTTCTGGGTCCCCTCAATCTGGTGGGTAAGCACATAGGAGAGGCTGAATGAGTGAAGGGTGGGGAAGGCTCATTTCCTGAGGGTGAACTGCTCCCAAGCCTGGGCTGAATCCAGCCCTCTACAGGCTGGAACTGATCTACACGGAGTAAGGCAGCAGACTCGTAGATCCTAATCAGCCATGCACCAGCCTTGCCCAACTGAGCCTGACAGCACCTTTCTTTATTGTAGCATCCCTGCACACTGGTCAGAGTCCACTACATCCACCTATGTGGTGGCTAAACTTGATCGTCAACCTGATGGGCTTTAGAGTCACCATGGAAACAAACTTCTGGGCATGCCTGCCTGTGAGGGAGTGTCTGGATTAGGTTAACTGAGGTGGGAAGACCCACCCTAAATGTGGGTGGCACCATTTCATGAGCCACCACTGGACTGAATAAAAAGGAGAAAGCAGTTGAGAGCACTGGCTACTCTTGCAGAGGACCTGGGTTCAAATCCCAGCATCCACATGGTGGCTAACAACCATCTATAACTCCAGTTCCAGGGGTCTTTGACACCATCTTCTGACCTCCAAGGGCATTGCACCACACAGGCACACAACATATATGTAGGCAATATACTCATACACATAAAAAAAGGAGAAAGGGAGCTGGGCAGCAGAATTCACCACTTTCTACTTCTTGGTTGTGGATGCAGTATCAACAGCTCCTGCCTCCTCCCTCTACCACATCTTCCCTGCCATGATGGACTCCACCTTGAAACTATCACTTAAATAAACCCTTCCTTACTTAAGTTGTTTTCCTATAGCAACAACAAAAGTAACTAATATGCGTTTGGCTGTCTACTGTCAAATCAAGATATCAGACCCCCATATTTATTTTTTTAACTATTCTATTCCCAGTGCTCAGCGTGGCACTAGAAATACCTGTTAGACGAGATGATGAGTGAATAAATAAATCGTAACTGAATAGTCACACCAAGTCCTCTTATCAGACCTGCACTAGGACATTCACCCTGTAAGCTAGCCAGGTCTTCAGGAGCCATCTCAGCCTTCTGGTGGTACCTGCCCAGCTGGGGCTCCTCAGAGGACTACTGATGTCACCCAGAGGGAGGCCAGTTCTGCCTCTGTCCTGTCTTGCCTTGCCTTGAGCAGCCACAGATAGTGGGGGCCACGTTTGACCACTGGAAGGTAAGGTGTCAGAGTGCTTCCTTTTCCAGACAAGTGACTGATCGACGTCCCATGGCTATGAGAGCATAAGAGTGTCAGCTCTGCATGTTCATTCGCTTACAGCGCTGGAGGTCAGGTGCCTGATATGAGTCACACAGGGGGCTAAAGTCAAGACGTCAAAAGGGCCGGGTGCCTTCCAGAGGGCCTGGGGAGAGTTCTTTACCTTTTCCAGTTCTGGGCTGTGCCTTCCTCAGCTTGCGGCTCCTTCCAGCAGAGACACTTGTGTCTTCAGCAGCTTTCTTCCTATGCCCGTCTCTCTGATTCTGATCCCCCGACACTTGCCCACTTCAGTATAACCTATCCAGCTTGGGACCCTTAGCTTTATCAGTTCAGCAAAGTTCTCTCACCATGTACTCTGTGTGTGGGTCACGTCTTTTGGGACATTACTCTGCCTACCACAGGCACCATTTCAACAGAGCACTGGGACTCCCATTTGACTTTGGTGAGAGTTTATTTCAGTGACATATTCACCTTAACCTGAGCACAGAGGGTAACCAGGTAAGGGATAGTAGGAGGGGGAAAAGAAAGGCATACTGGACAGCGACAGTGGTCAGCCTGACATACCTGGGAAGAAGGAGCCTCAATCAAGGCATTTCTACCATCTGGTTGGCCTTTGGCGTTTTCTTGATCTTTGAATGATGTGGGAGGACTTAGCCCACTGTGGATGGTGCCCCCCCCATGCAGGTGGTCCTGGGTTATATAATAAAGCAGGCTGGGCCCAAGCCAGAGGAGCAAGCCAGTAAGCAGTGTTCCTCCATGGTCTGCACTTGAATTCCTGCCTCCAAGTTCCTGCCTTGGCTTCCCTTGGGACATGTAAACCAAATAAATCCTCTCCTAAGTTGGTTTTGGTCAGTGTTTTATCACAGCAAGAGAACGCTAACTAGGACAGAAGGTGAGCCCACCCTTGCACACACTCATTCATTGTGATTATCTAAGATCTAGACGAAGAATTTCGCCCCACAGACTGGTCAGATCCCAGGGCTGGCTCAGTTCTTTGGTGTCTGGTGGTACCCACTAAGACACTCTCTAGAGCAATCTGCTGGGAACCGTGTGGGCAGAAATGAGGCTGCCCCGGTGGCCCCAGTGAGGCTCTGATGGGAAATACAGCTAGGGAGAGTGGAGAGTGACAGATGGAACGAGGCATGGAATGAGGATGCTCACCTCTGTCCTAGAGGATGATGGCAGGGAGGGCAAGAGATCGTCCACACTCCCGATGAGCTTCCGCAGGTTCAGGCCCACATTCTAAGACAGCAAGAGTGAGGCAGCTGTTACCACTCACCTTTAGAGACAGTCAGGATCTCCCAGGAATGCACACCAGGATGGCATTTGCCCTTTGAGGCTGCCTGGGACTGAACTCCCTAGGGTCCCCTTGTTTCCCTGGGGTCTGCTGGGCTGGCCAAGGAGAGGGGTACAGTGCTTTTCCTTCTAGGTTAGGCTGTGCAACCCCTACCTCCCCAACCTGCTCCCACCCTCTCAGTCACCTTCACCACCACCACGTAGCCCTCAGGGGGCAACTGGCTGAGCTCGTTCTTGAGTTCCAGCACAGCCTGCACCAGCGCCATGACATTGAAGTATACTGGGTCGTCGGTCCTGTCCAAGTTGGCTGTGGGTTGAATGGACTGAAAGGGGAGGGACAGATGGCCAGTGATTCATGGGGAGCCAGGAGGAGCCCTCCACCACTGTCACTCATTTCTGGGAAAGCACTGTAGTCATCAACTCAGCCACCAGGCCAAGGGGTAAAGGTAACAGGGCCATGTTCCAGCAGTACAGCTCTCCCTTCCAGTGCTGGCGTCATGGCTCTTTGACTGGGGAACCCTAACAGAATACTGGAGTGTTAACAAAAAATATTGGTGTGACACCAGCCAAGGGCAAACCATCATCTGGCCTTGGTGGTCCAGGTTATCTCAAATTTTCTCAGGTGAGTCTCGTGGGGATCACCTGATATTGAGACTCACGGTTCCAGAGCCAAGAAGACAGTGGAGCGTAGGATGCTAGAAACTGGGAGAGCTCTTCTTGGCTGCCTCCTGATCCCAGGCTAAGCCAATGAACTTCCCCCCAGGTCGGGCAGCAGACGACAGGAGACAGGATGGGCTCTTCTCCCACTTTGTCACAAATTAGCTACGAAGCCTTAGGCAAGGCTCACCCCCATCTCTGGGCTTCATTTCTACAGTGATGACATAGGACTGGATTCTTTCAGAGGGCCTCTGAGGGTTTCAAAGTCCATGGTCTTCCGTAGTTGTAACCCCAACTTAAATTCATCCCCAGCTTCCATGGATCCAATACATACCTGTGCACCCAGCCGTGGTGGCTTCTGTGGGGGCCCCGTGAACTCAGCTACAACAGAAAGGACAGAGTTGGTGAGGGCCCAGCACCCAGGCTTTTCCTTTCTACTGATAACCAAGCCAACTCCCTTCCTCCACCACCAGGAGACCCCAAAAATGTGATAACCAAATTCCAAGAAGAGAGCCAGGGAAACAATATCCTGGTTTCTCTAATTTCCCAGAAGCCAGTAACCAGATCTGTGGTCCACGGCATACAAAGAAAAATATCAATGCAGGGATGCCTGAGCAGTGTGTGTGTGTGGAACACCGAGCCCTGGCTTCCTCCTGGATGGAAACAGCCCTGAGGAGCAACAGTGTTGGCATGGACCATCCACGGGAAGGAAACCCACTCTCTGCATGTGGCACGATCTGTGGAACCCGCCCTGGGGCAGGGGAAGCTCAGGGGTGGACTTTTAGGAACTGTGATGGTTTGTGACACTACTGTCTCTACTTGGATGAGCAATGGCACAACCTGGGAGAGCCGCTGTAAGAGAACACAATGTGCAAGTCAGTGTGCTTGCGTCTGCCCTCCCCACCACCAAGGAGCGCTGTCACCCAAAGCAGCTGGCTCCTTCTACTTCCCGTCTCAGTTTTCATCTGGAGGATGACCTCATGAGCTCAGAAGGGACCTCGGAACCCAGACCACCTAGACTCTAATCTAAGCTGAGCTAATTAGTGGTTGGATGATATTGAACAAGCCACTTCATTATCTTGTGCCTCTATTTCATCTGTGAAATGGAGGTAAATTGTACTTGCCCCAGGCGTTGGTCCAATGTGAAGTGAATTAACATTTGTAAGTGACATAGGGCTGTGCCTGACTGTGCTAAGATGTTTGAGATTTCTGTCATCCTCATTTTTATTGTTATTACTACTACTACTATTAGCCACCACTGCAGCCCCACCCCTCAGAAGCAGAGGCTTTGTCTCTTTCACCCTTCTGGCCTGGAGAAGACCAGTAGTGACTAGGTAGGTAGAGACCTGACAAAGAGACTCCCGTGTGATGTGTGGAAAATAGAAAAGGAGAGACAATTCCCAACTTGTTTGAAGAAAAGCAGATGGGAGATAAAAGAAGAGGAGGCCCAAGTCGTGGGCAACTCCAAGAGAGGACAAAGAGGAGAAGGTAGCAGGAGGGTGGGGGGCTGGGAGGAGCAGAGGGGGAGGCTCCATCCAGAGCCCATCCAGAGCATATTCAGGATGAAACAAGGCGGATGGTGGTTTACAACCACAGACAACATTGGTGCTCCTTGCAGGGCAGTGAGCAAGGATGAGGGCCCCCACATGCCCTAGACAGAAACTTTCCCCAAGGAGGGGCAGAAACACTCACTGTAGCCAGCCTCTTTCTCTGGGGTCTGCAAGAAAGGGAAGGAAAAAGAAGAGTCAGGCCTGTGGCTTTGATGATCACCCTGTTCCCCTCCCTGTCCAGCCTCCTGCGGGTTTAGAGACTACAGCCATGGGGGAGGGGTCTGAGAGTTCATGACCACGAGTGACCTATCGAGGGGTCCAAGGCTGTACCAAGCATGTGGGTCCCGGGGTTAGAGAGATGGCTTAGCAGTTAAGAGCACTGGCTACTTTTGTAGAGGATTTGGGTTCAATTTCCAGCAACCACACGGCAGCTAACAACCATCTGTAATTCCAGTTCCAGAAGATCCAGTGCCCTCTTCTGGCCTCCGCAGGCATTGCATCACATGGGTGCACAGCCATACATGCAGACAAAACACTCATACACATACAATAAACATAAATAAAGATTTTGGAAAAAAGACGTGAGGCCCATGTACTTTCAGAAGAGAAGCATGGTGTCAGCATAAAGGGCAGAGATAGGCAAGCCCAGGGGGTTGGCACAGGGCTCTGGGAACAAGACCTTTGCTGGCCTGGACTCTCCTGAGAGGCCTTTCCTGGTGACTTACCAATGGGGATTTGTCATTCATGTAAACCATGGGGTCCTGCAGAGAAGACCAAAGCAAAGGACTTAGGGTTCTGGAGCAGATGGGAGGTAAGGGGAGAGGAGGCCCGAAGAAGTGGGCATGCATGACAAGCATTCAGCACAGTGAGTGGTGGTGGTGGGGCCTCCCCCAGCCCCGTGCAGGCTCACCAAGCATCTTTCCTCCCGTCTCAGCCACTGGGAATCTTCGGCCATCTGCTTCTGCTGCTTGTCCAGGATCTGCCGCATCTTGATCTTCTCAGCCTCCCATAGCTGCTGGGCCTCCTCTCGGCTGCTGGGGCGGATGAAGTCCTCCTCCTGCAAGGACAACAGCCGCAGTGAGTCCTGTCCTCAGTCCCCGAGCAGGCACGGACTCCTGAAGAGCCCCAGGGGAGCCAGCCCTTGGCTCTGCCCCCACTCTCTTATCCAACCACAGCCACAGATGCAGACGGTTACGATCCGGTGTCAGCCCCACGCGCATGCTCAGGGGCAATGGGATTCCAGGCCCCAGAGCACAGCTTCTCATGCACTGACATTTTATTTCCAACTGACCATCCCAATGATTTTTTTCCTATTTGTGATGGTTGCTGACATTTCATAGATAGATCAGAAAAATCAAGGCCAGTGTTTTTCTTCACCTAAGCACCATGGTGGAAGCTTTGAGGGGCAGTGGGGCTATCCTGAGCTCCAGGGGTACAGCACTGTTTGTGCCCATCAGTTATGCCTGTCTATTAAAACACACTCTTTGTTAAGACAGCTCGAGTGATAAAACTGAAGATTAAAAGAAATGAATGAGCTAAGAGATTAGATGAAACATGAAACTTCAAGTATAGCTCTGTAGATAAATGCTTTATGGTGGTTTGCATGAGAAATGTCCCTCAGAGGCTCATGTATTTGAACATTTGGTCCCCAGTTTGGGGAGGTTTTGGACATGGAGGCTTTAGGATATGGAGGCTTGCTGGAAGAACTACGTCCCTGGGGGTAGGTTTTGAGAGTTTATAGCCTCTTCCACTTCCTGGTCCCTCTATTTCCTGTGTGCAGTTGAGATGTGACCTCTGAGCTTCCGGGTCCTGCTGCCAGCCTTCCCCACTGTTATGGACATCTCTCTCCCTGGGACTGTAAGCTCTTCTGTAAGTGGCTTTTGGCCATGGCGTTTTCGCATAGTGCCAGGAAATGTAACTAATACTTCAGCTAGCCCTAGCTCTGGTCTTCACTCACCTGCAAGGCTTTGGAGCCATCATAGTCAGGGTGGAGAGATGCATGCCAATGTTTTCCCATCTCCCCTCTATCTTTCCAGGTGTCATTGGCATAATTATGTGCCCAGTCCCTCCAAAGGACTCTGCCTTTTATCTACTGTGCATGACTCCCTTGGCCTCTTAGATCTACTGGAGGACGAAGGCTATGGGAGCCCTCTTGATTATGCAAAGCCTTTGCCAGTGACAGGGTCCTTCTGTGATGTGAACACAAGCAGTTCCTGTTACAGCCTGACTGTGGCCCCTGAGGTTCATGTGTTGGAACTTAATTTCCAATGCAACAGTGTTGAGAGGTGTGTATGAGGTGCCAAGATCACAGGGGCTCTGACTTCATGAATGAGTTAATGCCATTCACACAGGTGTAGGTTAGTTAGTACAGGAACAGCTTGCCTCCCTGACCTCACCTTGTGCTACTTCTGCCATATTAGGACACAGAAGGAAGGCCCTCACCAGGCAGCCCTCACCATGGACTTTGCACCCTCTAGAACTGTAAGTAATACGCTTCCATTCATTATAAACCATCCAGTCTCAAGTATCTTGTTATAGCAACACAAGATGAGTAAACATAGTTCTTTTCTTTTGAAGTGGATTGTTTACAAGTCACTTAAAGAGAATGCTTTAAAAATTCATATAAAGGTGAGGCATGGGGATGCACACCTTTAAATCTCAGCATTCTAAAAGCAGAGGCAGGTGGAGCTCTGTGAGTTTGAGGCCAGCCTGATCTATATAGTGAGTTTCAGGCTAGCCAGGGCTCCATAGTGAGATCCTGTCTTTAAAAAACAAAAACAAAAACAAAAAACAAAAAACAAAACAACAAAACCCCTGTATATTCCTGTAGCAAGGCCTCTGAAGGGGGTCCCCACTAAACACTGTAAGACAGCTTGAGTGTTACAATATGGTTTTAAAATAGTTACATCAGGGCACTTTGCCTAGCTCATTGCCATTCAGTTACCAATGTTGCTTCCTTACAACATTCCTCATTCAGTAACTATTTGTTAAGCTGATGCTATGTGGAAGCATGGGGCTTGTGCTGGGAGAACAGTGATTTTTAAAAACACAATGTTCCTGTTTTCATAGGGCCAAATAAGTAACAGCTAGATCAAATTTTTTTAAGCACTCCTACCATGACACCATCCACCATGGTGTGAAGGAGTCAGAGATGCTCAGTGGGGCCCAGAGCAAGTGCTAGGCTCATGTTCCTGGAGCTCCAACACTGAGCTAAATATGCCTCTTTTCTGGGTGAAGTACCAGCCTTTGGTATTTTATTATAGAAACACAAAATGGACTTCTTCCCCATTCTTCAAGGCCCAGCTGGGGGGGGCGGGGACAGCTGGTGAGAGCGATGCAGGCGAGTATGCACCCGACTATAAGGGTCTTGGAAGCAGAGCCACCTGGTTCCTCTTTCAACACCCAGAACAGTGCCCTGCAAGTCCCATGAGTACAGCCCTCTATTTTGAACTTCATTATGGAATCATGAGGTCCTCAGGGAGGAAGATGGCTGCCAACCTACTGTGCGGCACTTCACTGACTCCCAGATGAGCCACACTGCAGAGAAAACCACTTTTGCCATTTCTGAACCTGTTAGTTGCTTTCAGATGTTTCACAGGGGCTCTCCTGTCCCTTGTTGGCATTCCAGGAAGAGACTCTGTTTCGTGTCTATACCACAAGAATGGAATTTATATTTTTAATTTTAAATTATTTAAAGAAATGTTCATTATGTTCTTTCAGGCAGATTTTCCTTATGCCAGTCACTCCTAAATCCCTGACACAAAAGGTCTGCACAGTCTGTCTTTATGGAACTGAGCAGAGTCCTGGCAGTAAAGCAAGGTTCACACAATGGCAGCTCTGCCCTTCCCAGGCACTCAGCAGCCTCTTTCCAAAAGAACACAGATTTAAATAAAGGTCCCTGAAACTTAATTAATTATGAATAAAGAGTCCAGGGCAGGAGGGCGGCGAACACTGCCTAAATTATAGTACCAGCTTAAAACTATGGTTTGATTACCATTAAGCACATGTAAAGATAGAAATTGGTTAAATTGATGTATGAGAGAAAAATGGAGTGAGTTTGGAGAAATTTAATTTCATAACAGATCTTGCTGCCTTGGAGTTCTAAATTATGCTCATTTGAAAATTTTACTAAAATTTTAAGAATAACAGCACAGAAGTGTACCAACATAATTGCCTACATTTCCCAAATGTATTGTGATAAACATGTTTTTTTCTCCACAAAAAGCTTTGGATTTATGTATCCTGAGTCTGAAATATCATGTACATACAGAGAATGAAACCTAAAATGTAAGGGTTTCAGTCTGCTTCATAACTTGGTATAGTAAAATATATCAAGTGTTCTTGACAACTGATCACAAGGGAGCAGTTGTGGTTGTTGGGAATGGACATCTACTCAGAATCAAGACAGAAGACATGAATGTCTCATCCATGAAGTCTTGAGAGCCTCACCAGCCAGTGGTGATAAAGAGATTTGGGGGGAGGTAACTTGGCCCCTCTCCCGCTGGCCTGTGAGCTCATACCCAAACCAGCTCGTTCCCACCCAGCAACACCTTTTACAAAAGCGCAGGAGAAGCAACCACAGGGACACTTCTCCAGGGATAGATTTAGCAACCAAAGCAATCAATCATGAAGGCAGCACGGGGCGGAACCTCAGGATCCTTTATTTCGAAGCAGCACCAGGCCTGGCTGTGCTCTGCCCACAAGCCTCCGTAGTACCAGGGAGCACCTGATTCCCAGGACTCGGGAAAGGGACAGATTCTTCCATCCTTGGTCACAGCACCAGGACGGACAAGGGCAGGTCCTATCCAGCTGTGTCCACAGGAACAGAACCCAGCTTCCAATGTGTTTGTAAAAGGAAGAGGGCCACAGAGACCCTCAGAGGCCTGACTGACACATGGAAACATTGATCACTTCCTGAGGCTCAGGATGTGGGACTCGCATGTCCCAGGCCTCCTCCCTCCAGCAGCCCTCTGGGAAAGGCTGGGACCCAGCATGCAGAGCCCTCTTACCCGCATGCTGTGGCGCTTGAAGACATTGTGCCGGTGGAGAGGTGGGGTGTGCAGCGAGTTAACGGGAGATGGATACTCCATAGGGCTAGTGAGCGTAGGAGAGCTGGCACACAGACCCTCTGGGACCTATTCAGAAGAAGCACAGAAGCACAAGGCACAGGGACAAGGCGAGAGGGGGGACAACAGGCTGCCGCACACAGGAGCACAAAGAAACGACTTGTGGGCACCGCAGGGATGCAGACTTGCTCCCTCGGGGCTGATAAAGGGAACGTGGCATATCCCTGGTCCTGCTGGAGAGACATGGCAGAGCAGGGCAGCCACTCATTTACTGAACACTCCTTCCCCATGATGCTCTGCTCATGTGAGGGGGCCGAAAGGCTGCTGATCCCCTGAGACCAAGCGTCCTCCCTTTAGAAAAGGGTATGTTTCATAGTTCTGATACAAATTGAGATGCGGTTAGCCTGCAGTTAAATAAATGCAGTCATACACACAGAGTCATGGCTCAGCATCCTGGTGGTGTGGTTTCAGGGCCCCCTGTGAATATCAGTCCCTTGTATAAAATGGTGTTATATTTGTATATAACCTACATATATCTGGTGCATTTTAAATCATCCCTAGATTACTTACAATATCTAACACAATACAAATATTACATAAATAAGTGAAACAATATATTGTTTGCAGAATAATGATGAGAAAAATCTGTACATAGTCCATACAGATTCCCCCCCCCATTTTCCATTCCTTCTTGGTTTAATCTACAGGTAGAACCCAGGAACAGGGAAGTCTTTTTCTCTCCCCCTTGTGTGTACATAATTATTTTGATTAAAAACATCATTTTTTTTTCTTTTTCCATTTTTGTGTGTATGTGTGTTGTGTGTGCACATGCATGTTTTGCATGTACATGTGTGCATGCACACATGGGTGTGGAGGCCCTGGGTTGATGTCAGGAACCATCCTCTGTCACTCTCCTACCTTATTCACTAAGGCAGGGTTTCTCAATCAAACTCAGAGCTCGCCCATATTGCCTGTCTCCTTAGGCAGCTTGCTCTGCGGATCGCCTGTCTCTCTCTTCCTAGGTTGGAATCATAGCAAGCCACTGTGCCCCCCTGGCATTTGCATAGATTCTGGGGATTTGAACTTCCATCTTCAAGCTTGAGCAGCAAGCACTTTAACCACTGATCCATCCCTCCAGTCCCCAAAGTGTATCATTATTTTAAATATTTCATTTTAAATGTTTTTCACGTGTGTGTGTGTGTGTGTGTGTGTGTGTGTGTGTGTGTGTGTGTGTATGTTAGTCATATGGCAGAGGACAACTCATGGGAGTTGGTTCTCTCCTTCTACTCTGAGGATTCAAGGGATCAAATCTGGATTATCAGGCTTGGTGGCAAGCGCCTCTACAGCTGAGCCATCTTACCAGCCTAAACATTTCTTTTTTAAATACATTGTTTTCACCTTCTGAATCAAGACATTCTCTTCACACAAAGAGGATTTATCTATTCATCCTTAGTTTGGCTTATTTTTGACAAAGAGCCATCTCCTTGATAAGGGATTAATGGTTATAAGGCACAGCCTCCCTGTGTAGAGCCACCAAGAAAGCTAACATTGGTGCTATTGATGGAGATGCTCCATTTTCAAATGGCAACTCTGTGCCAGGGGCTGTAGGAAAAGGAAAGGCAGGAGGCTGGGCCAACTGTCACCTAGATGCAAGAGAGCGACACAGGGCAGGGTATTTGGAGTTACAGGCTACAGCCTTGGGGAGATTCAAGGCTGGCGATGATGGATGCAGACAGCTCACATGGACTCCTGCTTTCTTTTCTCTGGCCACCTAGATCCTGGCGAGAGCCTCTGCAGGGAGCCCTGGGGTGGGACTCAGGTCTGTGCGACCCTCAACTGTCACCAGCTCCCGTCTCAGAAGACTCTGTCCAGGGTAGGAGGTCAGGGAAGTCAGGGAAGCCAGGGACACAGGAAGGCAGCTGTAGGCAGACACAGGAAGCAGCAGACACTGCAGACAGCTGGACTGGGCTGCAGGGGGAGCTTCTGGAAGAATTAAATTGCTATTCTTTTGCTCTAAATTTGAATTCTGTCCTGGGTACCAAAGAAGGTCCAAACTGGGCATTTCCATTCCCTAAGCAGGTACTGTTGCTGCTCCCCAAAGGTGCAGCCATTGCAATTCAGGAAGGGACCTTGAGGAGGGATGGAGCTGACCTCCATCTGATTACACATTTACCTGGAACTGCAGCTTAGGAGCCAGCAGGTTGGTCTGAGGAGGGGGTCTATACTTGGGCCGGCTGGGCTAGAAAGAAAACACAGGGCTCTGTCAGTCTGACTCTCCCTGTCAGTAAACAGGACACACCAGGGGAACTATCAGGTCAGAGGCAGTTCTGTTTGTTCATAATAGAGACATGGGGACAAAATTATCATTGAAATCATTTTGCAGTCGCACATTGAGTGCTAGTTACATGCTAAGTGATGAGATGGGACAGGAGCAACACATGCAAGAGAGATGAGAAAAGGCCTTGGACCAGATTGGGTATTGCTATGATCTCAACACTTGAGCCCACTCTGCCAGCTCTGTTCATATGCTGATATCCTACCTCTCAATGTGCCAGTTTTATGAGGCAGGACCTTTGAGGGGGGATTAGAGTTAGGTGAGGCCATCAGGGTGGGGCCCCTTGAGGGGATTAGTGTCCTGATGTGATTAAGACCAGAGACTAGTGAGTTTCTCTCATTTTTTCTCTCTCTCTGCTGGGTTAAGAGCAAGCAGGAGGCCATCTGAGAGCTAGGAGGGGTCCTATGATGGTTAACGTTGATTGACATGACAGGATCTGTGGAGAGAAGATCTCCTCTGAATGTGGGGACACCATTCCATGGGCTGGAGCTCTGGACTGCCTAAAAAGAGAAAGCAAGCTGAGCCCCAGCATGCATCTCTCTGCTCCCTGACTGCAGATTCAACATGACCAGCTACTTCAGACTCCTACTGCCATGACTTCCCCACCATGACAAACGGTACCTTCCAACTGTGAGCCATAATAAACCCTTCTTTAAGCTGCTTTTGTCAGGTGCTGTGGCACAGTGATGAGAAAAGCAGCTTCCACGGGTCCTTTCCAGATGCTAAATCTGCTTGGTTCTGGGTCTTGGACTTCTAGGCTCCGGATGGTGAAGGATGGGTGTCTGTTGTTTAAACCATCATCTGGCTGTGGTATTTTGTTTTGGCTGCTCTAGCTAATATAGGCTTGGTTTCTGGAAATCCGACCACTTGGTTGGGCAATGAGGTCCTGGTTCCTGAGCTTAGAGCTGCCATTGCAGGCATAGACAGAGAGCCTGGCCCTCAGGGGCTCGGGATACCCCCCTTTCTTGTCATAATGGGTATCCAATTCACCTTAGGAAGCCCCAGAAGGCAAGTACATAGGCAGTCTTAAAAGACGGTTCTTTAGGCTGTGTGCTAGCCTCAGATTCCTCTTGCTGAATCACCAAGGAATAAGGGTCAATGGATGGTTGGGAGTTGGGTTCCAGAGATGAGAGGGAATTGTATAAAAGCAGCCTAGTTACATTGTGAGAGGGCAGTGTGCCACAAAAGGACATGACTCTGCTATGATCCATGAGACCAAGTCCAGGCTTAGCTTACCTTGGGTGGGGGTTCCTGGAAGGCAGTGGGCTCCAATATTTTGGGGGGACGGTAGCGAGCATTCCTCTCTTGCTCTATGGCAATATCCCTTTCCATCTGATAAATGTCACTGCGGAGGAATTAGGTCAGATAAGGAGAGAAATAAAGTCAAAGGTTCCACTCTGCCTCACTGAAGCCAGGGAGGGCCTGAATGAGAGCCCCAGATCCCATTTCCAACTTCCCTGCAGAGTGACCTGGGTGACCCCTCTGAGACAAATTGGGATACAGATCCCTCACCGAGGCTTGGGAGAGTCAGAGGAAAGGAGCCAAATGGAGAAGTCCTTGGAGGGCCAGACCCAGCCCAACAGACAGCAGAAACTGGCTGCAGCCACACCTCCCATGCCTACCACGCTCCTGTACCAGCAGTTAGCAGGTCATCCCCACCTGGGCCTTCTTAGCATCTCCCTTGAGGCTCCCATCAGCCCTTTATTATTATTATTATTTGTGCTGAATCTGATCTTGAACTCATGAGCCAACTGTCTGTACCTTCCAAGTTTTGAGATTACAGGCATATGCTACCACATCTGGATTTTCTAGCCCTCAAGTAAGACTGCTAAAACAGACAGTATAGCCCAATGGTAAAGAACTATCCTAACATGCAAATGGGTTTGATGTCCAGAACATACATACACATAAAATTACCAACATGTTACTACAGTGCTTATAAGTCACAGTGTCTAAGCTCATCAAGCAAGTTTCCCTAAAGCAGAAGTCAGCAACACCTGCCCTCCCACCTATTTTTGTATGGTTTCAAATTAATAGTGGTTACCACATTTTTTTATGATTGAAATTTTTAAAAAATGTGTAACGTGAAAATCCTGCCAAGTTCAAGTTTCAGCATACGCGATGGAACTTTATCGAATGCCGCCAGCCTGCTCCTTTACTATTGCCTCTGGCTGTCTCCACACTGCGAAGGCAGAGATGAGGAGTTGTGACAGCGACTTAACCTAGACTGCCAAAGCCCCACATATGTACTATCTGAATCCTTAACTGAAGTTTGCTGATCCCTACCCTAAAGGAAGCCAAAAAAAAGTCAGACCACTCTTGAATAGCAAGCAGGTCACCCATGAAGCTGGGAGACCCTGAATCCCTAAAATAGACAGTGACCTTCTGGCATCAGCAGGGAACTGAGAATGATCTGAGCCTCAGGCTCCTGGTCCCCTAAACAGAACAGGCAGGTGACCTCTGGGGCTCAGTCTTGATAATATGTCAAAGACACTCCAAAAAGTTTCTCCATAATGGGGAAGGAACATTAAATGGGGAAAGGGGGCAGGAAAGGTCATGGTCATGTGCCTCGAACTCTACAAAGCACAGGCACACCTTCCCAGCATGAGCTATGAGCAAGGCTCAGCACTAGGTGCTGGGATATCTGAGTGAACAGGCTTCACCTCATCTCTGGTGTCTGATAATGAACTTGGTCCCATCATTCTGTTCTCTAGCAGATGAGCTCAGGTGAGCAAGGCTTCCCTGGACCACTTCATCTCTGAGCTCATATCTGACAGTGAACTTGGGTCTCAAATTTCTGTCCTCCAACAGTGTCTGGTACCTTCTACACTTCTACCATGGAAGGATGGGGCTTCTTCTGTGTGGTGGTCAGAAGGGAACTCTAGTCTACCTGTCACTATTGGCATCAAGCCACGAACTTTGAACTTGAACTCTTCTGTCTGCCAAGGGGGAATAAGGATATCTGCAGCACAAGGCTAGATACACTGCCAACATCTGATGTTGAGGTAGACCTCTTGGAGCTGCAGGGAAGAAAGATTTATCTTCTACCCATAGCTCCCCCTGTATGCTTACCTGAGACTGCACACAAGCTCTGTGAAGCGGGGCCGGTCACTGGGGTCATAGTCCCAGCAGCGAGTCATGAGTGTGTAGAGGACGGGAGGACAGAGGTCGGGCTTGGGCAGCCTGTCTCCTTTTTCCAACACCCCGATGACATCCTTGTTTTCCAGCCAGAAGAAAGGCTGCTTCCCAAAGCTGAGGATCTCCCACATGCACACAGCTGAAAGCAGAGGGGCCGGACTCAGGGGAAGGACCAGCTTGTCCTCCCCAGGGATGACTGCGGCCATTGATGCTTGATCCCAGCCAAAGGAGGAGTACCCTAGTTGTCTCACCCCAGCTCATTCTCCCTTGAGGTCTGGCCCATCACAATGTTCTGCCCAGGGCATCAATAGCCTCTACCTGTAGTATATGAACACAGTCTGCTCCCTAGACCCTCAACATGGAGCTATTCAGGTTTTGTGGGATCAGGAGGTGGCTGTCATTCCAATCATCAGAACCTTCTCATGGGAGGGAGGGAAGCCCATGTCCAAATGCTGGAGTTACAAGCCTAGTGTTAACACTTGTTGCCTGTGTGATCATGGACAAGCTCCCGAATCATCTGAGCCTGTTTCCTTAGCTGGAAAACGGGAGTAATAATGACATTTTCTGGAACCAGCTGCAGAAGCATCAGCGAGTCATGTGCAGGGCAGCGTGTCCATCCATACCTAGGAAGGACTTCTCTTTCCCTCTACCTTTCTTCAAAAGAAGCCACTCAGCTTTCTTTGAGGACTCCTGCGCAGTCTCAAGATGACTGCTGCAGCAGAGGCTTGTAACAAGAGACTTTTTCAAGGCTGGCTCTTGGCCCATGTCCCTGAACCCTGTTACTGACTTCCCACCTCTGGGACTTCTCAGTGCCCCTGGGACTTGGGAGGCACAAGTCAGACCCTTGCTCTCTGTGCTGTCCTGCTGTCCGGGCCACAGACATGAGAATCAGCACATTTCCAGGCGCTCCTTAATCACCACTCACCAAACATCCAGACGTCACTGGCTGTCGTGAAGCGGCGGAAATTGATGGACTCAGGCGACATCCATTTGATGGGAAGACGAGTCACAGAGGCTTTGGGTGGATAAAGATGTTTGTAGGGATTATTCAAATACCTACTTTCCAGAGACCCCTGGCCTAGGCTCCTCAGACTTGAAGCTTCCTTTCTCTGGGATTTTGGATTCAACAAACTCTAGTGGTAACCAGGAAGCCCCTCACCTTTGTAATAATCCTCATCCTCAATGTACCGAGAAAGGCCAAAATCCCCCAGCTTCACACACTCAGGGGAGGCCACCAGGATATTCCGGACGGCGATATCCCTGTAAAAAAGACCGAAGATCAGCACGAGGTACCATCTCATGAGAGACCTGGTATAGATAAAGAGAGCCAGGCCCTGGCCTAAAGGAACATCTGAACAGGTTACTGAGAGAAAGAGGGCTCTACCTGGCAATATAATTCCTGAACTGAGCATCTGCCTCTCCTTGAAGAACACCACTGGCTTGGGCCACCTGTGTTCTTGGTTTCACCACCAACCCCAAACTAGTGCCCACCCACTTCTCAAAGGTCATGTGGTTCTCGGCTATTTGTTTCCACTGTTGAAAAGATGCGTTCCAAAGCATGCAGCTTCAAAGAAACAGGAAACAAATCTACCAGTGCAAGACTAAGTGTAACTCACGGTTGAATCTCATGCTAGAATGTGGCCTTTCCAAGCAAAAGGATTCTTGTCTATTTTGATCATGGCTTTGCCCCATATTCTAGAACATTTGCTGGTACTTAGTAGGAGCTCCACTGGGCTCACTGGATGAATAAGGGAGTATACGCTTGGATCTCCTACACGGTTTTGGTCTCCTACACAGACTCGGGCTCAAGGCCACACAGACAATGTCAGTGTCGAGGTGAGAAGCACAGTGTGGACTCCAGGGGGATCATGCTCTCAAATGAGTGAGAAGGGGGAGAGTGGGGAGGAGCCAGCTCTACTGGCACAGGAAAGGTGGTTGGTGGTTCTGGGATACTGGAGAAGCAGGGTGGAGTGTAAAAGACTCTAGGATGTTCTGGATACTTCTCTAACCTAGTTCCTTCTTCCTGGGTCATGTGCCACCCAGTCGACAAGGTAGAGAAGATGGAGGTCTGAACACAATGGCAGCGCTCTCCTGGTACTCACCAGGACTGAGCAGAAGGCACTAAGTCACAGACAGACCTGACTTTGGAGTTTCTATCAGTATCACAGGACATTTTAAGTTTCTAGGTGAGGACATCTTGCAGAGGATGCTTGGGTGCTGAGGGCTCTAAGTTGCCAGGCACAGCCAAGGCTAGGTTCTAGCTCTAGTTCACATCACTCCTCCACATACACTTCAGCCTTCTCAGGGCCTGGCCTCCACCCTGTTCCTACCTGTGCACACAGTTGATGCTCTCCAGATAAGCCATGGCTTTGCATATCTGCAGAGAGTACAGGACCAGAGTGGGTACCTTCAGGGAGTTCTTGTTTCGCTCCAGGTAGTGGCCCAGCTGCAGGAGGAGGAACACAGAATCAAGAACTAGTCATTCTGCCCTAGCGTGGCATCAGTGGCTAAGCTATGAGCAGATACAAATCCCTCCCTTCCTTTGGGAGCAAACTCAAAGATGGCAAGATGATTTGGCAATTTTCTCTACCCAACAGCTGAATACAGAAGGCAGAAATCTAAAAAAGGTCTCTGGATGTCCTGCTCAACTTGCGGCCCAGCTGTCACAAAGGGTCCTCATCTGCCACCTCTGCTTACCTCCCCAAAGGGATACAGTTCCATGACAATCCACGTGGGCTCCTCCTCAATGATGCCAATCAGCTTCACTATGTGTGGGTGGTCGAGATTCTTCATGATCACTGTAGGGGAAAGAGGAAGGCTGAGCAATTCAAAGGTCACGTGGAAATTGGTTTGTTTCGAGATCGAACAGGGCCTCAGCTTGCTAGGCAAGTGCTTTACCACCAAGCTGCTCCCCAGCCCCAGTTATACAAGAGAAATGCAGTTTGCTGCCCAGCTGGGAAAAATGGGGCAAGAAACCATTCTTTAACGAGGAGTCCCATTACTACTGCTCACATCCCCCTTCCTGGGCTCCTGACCCCTTCTCATCTCTGAGGGCTCCGGCATCTCAAGGGTCCCTCCCCAAGGGACGCCTACCTGCCTCGCTCATAAACTTCTCTTTGTTGTCCAGGGTACAGTCTTTCTTGCAGGTCTTGACAGCCACATTGATTTTCTCCCCTTTCTGCAACAGAAGTGTGTGTTTATGGACCCTAGTGCTTTCCGAAAGAAACTGTCCCTTTCCTGGTCTCAGCGTGGACATCCCAGAGACCTGGCCACGCCCAAGAGAAGGCGAATGGCCTGGCCCTTCTGAGACACCTAACCCCCCACTTCTGCTATTTATCCCTTCTTTTGCTCTCCTCTTTCCCTTTCTTCCAGATCAGGATGTGGTAGAACTCTAAAGGGCTTCAGAGACCAGATAACTTCAGCCCTGTGTCCAGACAAGGATGCTGAGAACAGAGTCACATGATCTGCCCAAAGCCAGTGGATTTGTGGCAGAACATACACACACAGCCTCCAGCAGAGGTGAGTTGGGCTTCAGTCTCTGTCTTGTTAGGTTTTAAACTGTGCTGCCCTTGTCCTTGGGCTCTTCCCATCCCAGTCTGCTAGAAGGACAGAAGCCTAAGGAAGGCTGGCCCACCCTTCACTGACCTGAAGACCAGCTTTCACTGGCTCAGCTTGGGCCTTGCTCTTCCTCATCCTGCAACTGTATCTTACTCCACTCCCTGCCCCTGGAATTCTCCTGCCAAGCCTCAGAGACCCTTTTCCAGGTCCCACTATAGTTCCACCTCTAGTACACTGGTTCCCCCTCTCCAGAATGATTCTCGACCCCATCACTCCCTGAGTGTTTCAGAAATAGTCCCGGGCCATGTAGAGGGAGATCCACCATGCCACAGCAGCTGCCTCTGCCCAGCTCCTACCTCACCCTGCAGACGGGACAAAGGGGAGAGTCAGTCAGGGGAGAGTCAGTGACTTACATGATTTGTGTAGACCCCTTCGTAGACCTCCCCGAAGAAGCCTTCACCAAGAATACGATTAAGAACCACATCCTCACGAGCAACACCGTACTGTGGACCTGCAGAGATGGAGCAATCATATCCCAGAGTCCAGCTGGCCTCCCCCAGGGAATCTGAGTGTGCACGGGGAGCAAAGCCCTCTGGACAATACCACAGCCAAGATCCAGGAGCTAGGTTAGGATAGGATCTAGGTTGTTCCATTGTCTCACATCCAGGGAAGAGTTATCACCCTGTCCCTGGGTCCTGGGTCCTAGGTCTACAATCTTAAGGTCACTACAGAGCTGCACAGGCTCATAAAAAGAACATGACCCCAACTTTCAAACCAAGGGTGCCAAAGGTTTTCTGTGCATGAGCACATGCTGAAGAAGACGAAGAAAGGACAGAAAGGTCCTCTGTGGCACCTCAGGAGTCCTCACAATGTCACCACCCAGGGCCCTGACTGTAGTCACCCCCAGTGGAGTAATCTGCTGCCTCAAGGACCTACCTCCTGGCCTTCGCAGGGTCTCGTCAGGAATCTCTGCATAGATGTCTGACTCTGCAATGACAGAAAGGGGCTCAGCCTGTGTCAGGCGTCTTTATTGGGCATGGCCAGGAATCAGGCTGTGGCTCTACATGGAGCCCAGGACAGTCAAAGGAGTGAGTGGGGGATGAGGGTGTTCTGGGGAGGGCCAGCTTCTGTCCCAGGCTTCAGGGGAGCCACAGAGCTGAGGGAGCCATGGCTTCAAATAACACCTGTTACCCATTTAGCACCATTATGAACCAAATGCTCAGATGTCACTAAATCCATACGCTGCAGCTCTACCCTATGATATGGTGGTTGCTACAAGTTTTTTGAGATGTGACTAGGGTTAGGTGAGAAGGGAAGCCCTGGCATAGGAGTAATGCTTTTATAAGAAGGAGAGCTGGGCGTGGTGGTGCACGCCTTTAATCCCAGCACTCGGGAGGAAGAGGCAGGCGGATCTCTGGGAGTTTGAGGCCAGTCTGGTCTCCATAGCGAATCCAGGCCAGCTAGGGCTACAGGGAGACCCTGTCTC